ATCCATCCATCCATCCATCCATCCATCCATCCATCCATCCATTTATCCACCCAACCATCCATCCATCCATCCATCCATCCATCTATCCATCCATGCCACCATCTACCCACCTACCCATCCTCCACGAACTGATGGACCTATTTGTGGGGGCTCTCATGGCCTAGAGGTTAAGGTGTTCGCCTCTCAATCAAAGGTCCCAGGTTTGAATCTGGGTAGTGACGGAAACATTTTCTTCTCTAAAATTGTCTCTGTTCACCTCATTTTCTGCTCTCTAGCAATGTTCTGTCGTCTGCTTTCGTCTCCACTTTTTGCCCCCACCCCCTCACCAACTTTGCTCCCTCCTCTGGGCTCCTGACTCTTTCTGCAGCCTTTCTACTGCTACTCCTTGGCTCCTCCTTACTGCTGTCTTTCAGCCGCACCCCTGATCTTCTGGTAGGAAAGATCTACACCTAGCCTTCTCGGACAAGGGCAAAAAATCTCGGAGGTCCCGTGTGCAAGTTGCTCACGTTAAAGATACCTTGGCGGTCCAAAATCGATAAGAGTAGGCCTCGGCCGCCACCCGGGCAATATTTAAAATTTCCTACCTACTGAAAATGTTTAATGTGTCCCGCGCGCTCATAATACGACCTTATGCAGTTGCAAGCGCCGTAAAACACTTATGAAAAAAAGGACCTATCTGTCTATCTGCATGTATCTTACCGCCATATCCTGAGGCGCAGGCAAAGATGACCCAGCTGACAGCCAGGCCCCAGGCACAACCACGTAGAGCGTTGTAGAGAGCGGCCACGTCATTGGTCAGTGGGTGTCCAGCCGCCTGGTCAGACAGGCCATACAGGACGCTCAGGCCCAGCACACCCGCCCACAGCCAGCCACAGATTACCCACAGCTGGAACAACAACAACAACAACAACAACAACAACACAAATAATAACAATAATAATCTATATCTATATCGATATATCACTGCAAAGAGAAACAACAACACAAATAATAACAATAATAATCTATATCTGTCTCTCCCTACATATATCACATGAAAGAGAAATGTAGATATCACCTTGAACAAATTTACTAAGAAATATGCTGAGCCAGTAGTCCCACCTTCAAAGAGTATTGCCAGAGGCAGAGGAAGTGCAGGAAAATGTTCGACATCAATTTTTCCATTTTGGCAACACATGTCCCTGGCTTCTGCTTTAAATTTTATCCCATGACAATGCTGGCTTGGAAAGTGGAGCCCCCCAATGTACGTCTCCTGTTTAAGATTGTCTACACTGCCCTGCATACAGCTGGGCCTGGGCCTAACAGTTCCAGTTCTTGTTGTGTTTTTATTTTCCTTATTTTCTATTCCTGCAGTATAAGTAGATCTATCTGTTGCCAGGGCACAGCGACGTATCTGCACTTATATCATTTTGAGTTACGTCGTGCTGCCATTGGAAATATGGGCCTGGCCCTTCTGTTACGTCTGTTTGCCACAGTGAAATCTCCTATTTGTAGTGCAGATACGTCTGTTTGCCATAGTGAAATCTCCTATTTGTG